CAACCCCAGACAGCCTAAATCCCAAACTCCCTGAAGCCTCAAAGTATTAAACTCCACTATCCTAAACCCCCAAAAACAAAGCGCAAACCCTGGAAGCCCTAAACCCTAAACACCCTAAACCCTAAAAGCCCCAAATCCTAAAACCATTCAACATTACACAATCTCAAGCCCTAAAGTCGCCTGAACCCTAAAACGCTAAACCCAAAAACTCTGAAACTCTAAACCCTCAAACCCTAAAAGCCTAGAACACCTAAAGAAAACGTTAAACCCTAGAGGCCTAGATGCCTCGAACTAAAAAAACAGCCTTGAAACCCTGCTGGGTCCTTGTTGTTTCCTGTGCCGATCCCAAAGGCCCTGCGCCACAACCACTGTGCCCTGCAGGGCGGCTTCTCGGGGGAGGTTAAAGCATGTGTTTACTGTTGAAACGGATCTGCAGGGCACGCTGGTTTCCAACCGATGCTGTAGTAGCTGTTCACGTACCTTGTATTAACATGAAACCCCTTGCAAATGTTTGATTTTCAGTTGATGTGAAAAGTAGCTGCAGATGCGAAATCCCTTGGAACATTTATCTCAAACGGATGTCTAGAGCAGGTGGGGACCTTTATGTTGCTATATTGCGCACAGCCATATCATTCCAAAGCTGTAGATGTTAGGGTTACGCAAGGAAAGCGTAGGCAACAGGGGCTAGGGGCGGTGAAAGCAGGAGTGCGTCGGGGCTTTTCCTGGATCAGTTCGAGCGAGGCATGTCACCTGAAGCGGCCGCCCGAATGCAGACACGTGACACGTACATCGCAAAGAGAATAACACTCCACGCGCGACACCAGTCACGAAACTTAAGTCCGGGGTCGTCCTCTCTCCTCTCTCTTCCCCTTTCTCTTCCCTCCCCTGTCCTCTCCTCTCTCTCCTCCTCTCTTCTCCTCTCCTCTCCTCTCCTCCCCTCTCCTCTCGTTTCCCTCTTCTGTCCTCTCTCCTGTCTCCTCTCTCCTGTCTTGTCTCTCCTTTGTTCCCCTATCTTGTTTCCTCTTTCCTCTCCTTTGTTCTATTCTCTCCCCTTTGCGCACTCTCCTCTCTCTTCCCTCCTCTCTCCTCTGTCTCTCTTCTCTCCTCTCCTCTCTTTCCTCTCTC